TGAGCCACCCAGGTGCCCCAGGAAATCGCCATTTCTGGCGGCGTCTTTGAGTTAATTGGGGAGGGAGCGGGAAGGGCTGAGAGTCCTCGCAGAGGACCGGATTATAAACAAACAAAATGCAGCCCCCTCCACGCACAACCCCCTTCCTTCCCGCGCGGCATCCTGGCGACTTTGCGGAATGAACTGATGGGAAGCGGGCCCCCACCTCCACCAGCCTACTCCCAGCTAAGTGTTTAGGAGCCCAGCTCCTAAAAGGGAGGGCATCTGGATTCAAATCCTGGGTCTCTCACGTGCTGTCTGTGTGATCTTAGGCATGTCACTTACTCTGTCTAGTCCTCAGTTTCCTCATCTATACAGTGGGATGGGTAGTGACATGCGTTAATCTGTAAAATGCTTGGAACCAGCTCGCAGTTGTTTTTACAGTTCACGTTCCATGTCCCTTCTTCTCCCACACTCTCCTTGGCTCCTATGGCCCTCAGAGTAAAATCCACACACCTTCCTGTGACCAGGGGGCCCTGTGTGGCCCAATCCCCACCAGCCTCCCTGGCCACACCTTCCTGAATCTCCCTGTCACATCATACAGCCTCTCTGTGGTCTCTGAGTCTTCCCACACGCCCAGTCTCTTCTGGCCACAGGGCCTTTGCACATGCTGTTCTCCCCCACAGGAAGTGCTCTTCTTCCTCCAGGTGCTCCTTGTGCTGTCCCGCACATGTGCTCAACTCCTCCTCCTCCCTCAGGTCCTGACTCAAGTGCTGCTTCCCCCAGGAAGTCCTCCTAGATCTCTTCAGATCAGGTAAGGACCTCCCTGTTCTGGTCACAGGTCTCAAATGTCTCAAATGCGTAGACCTCCATCAACAAGTCCTCCTCCATCACCATTACACCACCAGGCCCATAGGGAAGGGTTATATGTTTTTCCTCCCATGTATCTCCCCTAGAGAGACATAAGCTCCACTGGTGGGAGGTGGCTTGGAGGAGGTCCAAGCATCTCTTTGAGGCAGAACCATGTCATCTTGGCCTCATTTAACCCAGGCAATATATTCCAAGGCAAAAACATTCAGCACCTGCTGCTTCTGCTCTGGAGGAGCAAATTGGAGCCACACCCTCCTCCTAGGAGACCCCTGTTGGGCCCCTGAAGAACACCCATGTTCCTTCCCTCCAGGGCATCTTTATGCTCTCCCTCTCCTTGCAGCTCATCCATGACCTTTAGGGAGTCTGTGTCTGGTTCTGACTCCCCCAGCCCGGGGACTCCTTGGGACCAGGCTGGGGTGAGATTGGCACAGAGGTTTTGGCTGGAGGCGTTTGCTGAATTAACGAATACACCTTCTGCCCGGTGAACTCCTATGCACTCTTCAAAAGCCTAGTTCCAATGTCCCTTTTTTGAGGACACCTTCCCTGTCTCCCCAGACAAAGCCCTCACTCCCCCTACTCCCAATTCTTCCAGCTCCTGGCCCCACCCTCCAGCCCAACCCTGGCTCCACAGGGCTAGGGGACATCTGTGGACAGCTCTTCCTCCTGCAAACTGAGGTCTCCTCGGGGACCAGGACTGAGACCTTTTAGGGGCACGGGAAAGTTGTCAGGAAGTATTTACTCAGCAGATCAATGAACACATGAATGAGTGAATGAATGAATAACTGTTTCAGGGCTTGGAGTCAGTTGTCCTGGGTTCGCATGCTGGCCAGGGTGCTGAACACTGAATCTGTCCCTTGACCCCTCTGAATCTCACTTCCCCATTTATTAAATGTGTTTACTCAGAGGGGCGCCTGGGTGGCTCAGTCTGTTAAGCATCTGACTTCGGCTCAGGTCATGATCTCACGGTCCTTGAGTTTGAGCCCCGTGTCGGGCTATGTGCTGACAGCTCGGAGCCTGAACCCTCCTTCAGATTCTGTGTCTACCTCTCTCTGACCCTCCCCCATTCATGCTCTGTCTCAAAAACAAATAAACGTCAAAAAAAATTTTTTTTAAATGTGTTTACTCAGAGACTTTGCCCCACGTTGCTGCAAGGATGAAATTAACAATACATAAAGCACACAGCCTCGGGGACCTTAGGCTTCCTCCAGTCCCAGCCCTGTGCACCCAGGACCAGCAGTTTTGTTCCCCTCCCCAGCGCCCAGAACTAGTGTCCTCGACAGGTACACTTAATGGATGCTGAAGTACAGGGTTGGTGAGAGGGGTAGAGGAAGGAGGGAAGACAGGCAAATATTACAAAGGCTGAAACCTGGAGTGCCTGGGTGGCTCAGTCGGTTAAGCGTCTGACTCTTGATTTCAGCTCAGGTCATGATCTCATGATTGTGAGATTGGGCCCCGCGTCAGGCTCTGTGCTAGGCATGGAGACGGCTTAAGATTCTCTCTCTCTCCCTTTCCCTCTGCCCCTGCGCCCTCGAGCTCTCTCTCCTTCTCTCAAGAAAATGCCTGAAACCTAAGGGTTGCTCAGGATGGAAGTGGTCTGGCCTCCCTCACGGACCACTTGGGCAAGCAGTCTGGCCGTCTCTTACCCCATCTCCAAGCCATCCCTCCCCTAGGCATTTACTGGGAGAGAATGAGGGATAGTCACCGTAAGGCAGGTACAAAAAAGGCTCAACACAGGTTTATCCGTGATAGCCCCAAACTGGAAACAACCCAGATGTCCACCAACAGGTGAAATGAACAATTAGTGAGGCAATGAGAGTTTTATGGAGCTAGTATTAAGCGAAGGTTATACCACACTGGGAACTAAATGTACTGTCATTGAATGACAGACTTTAAAATCCTTAAAATGAGAGGTTATATGTTTTTTGTGTTTTGCCACAACGTTAAAAAATGGTACCCAAGAATACTCCAGAGCCATGAAAAGGAGCAACGCCAGCTTCTCACCGTAACATGGGGAACAAGGGAAGCCAGATCCAAGAACAGATACCCTCTGTGATCCCCTTTCATGTGAAGTTCGAAACCAGGTAAAACTCACCTATCATGACAGAGGTCGGGGCAGGGGAGGGGAGAATCAACTGGAGAGCCCCAAGAAATGCCAGGAGCTGGGAATGTCCTAGATCCTGACTGGAGTGTCATTGCCCTTGTCACCCTCCACGTTTAACATTTGTGAACTTGACCATGTGTATGTTAAGCCTCAAGAAAAAAAAAATGTTAAAAAGAGAAAAGAATTGCCAGGGTGAGAAGACAAGTATGTCCATCAGTCCTGAGGGCTAAGGGTTCCATTGTCCCCACGAATGCTATTATCTGATCCCTCTAGGGACTGATGACCTAGAAACAGGCCTGGAGCTGGGTGGGGACAAAGGCAGGAGGGCAGTGACCTTAGTCTTGTGTCTGGGATTTCAGAAATGATCCCCAGATGCTTCATCTCTGGGGAGTTGCTTCCCACATTCCCCATACGAGGGTCCCCAGTCTGGATGACATCATGAGACAGGAAATCCTCAGGACTCCAGAACACTCAGAACACCAGCCCCCAGAGTCCTTGGAGAGGACCTTTCCGCCCAAATCAGACACCCTGGTGAAGACACATTCTCACACTTCAGGGCCCTTTAAGACAAACTAGAATTAATTAGCAACAAGCATAACTCACAGCCTTGGGCAGAAGGAAGAGCATAGACTTCAGTCAGAAGGTCCTGGGTTCAATTCCTAACTTAATCACTACACGTGAAGGAATAAATGAATGGTGGAGAGATGGGCTTTTCATCCCCATTCCACAAGGCTTTATTATGCATTTCCAGGATGTTCAGCCTTGTCCTACAAAAGGCTGGGGGTCCAGAGAGGCCTCTGCCTGGCCTGGCCTCCAACGAGCCCCCTAGTAGGGGAGCTGCCTAGTAGGGGAGACGGAGCCTGACAGAGACACTCCCATTCCTGTTATTGCTCAAAGCGATAATACAAGAAATCACAGGCAGCCAGGACACAGGGGAGGCAGCTAAGAAGGAGGGACTAGGGTAGAGGAAGTATGCTAGGGCCAAAAGAGAGAGAGGAAGTGGAGTACTAGAACATTAGACAGCACGTGGCCAGTGACTGTTACACACTGACCAGGGAGGAAGTTGGGCTGAATGACCCCAGATAATGAAGGGCAGCAGAAGGCCAGTCCTGCTTCCCAGGCCTTTTCACTTCTGTCTTGATTTGTTTTGTATACCTCCAGAGATGGAGGCCTCAGTGCCAAGAGAGACGGCCCAGCCCTCCCTGGGCACAGGCAACTGTCAGCAAGTTTGGTGCAACATGATTTTTTAAAGCAGTGACCACCATAGTTAAAAGGGCTGTGTGCGATTGTTTGGGGAGGAAGGGTTACTACCGACGTGAGGCAGGCAGTCGGCACCTGCTGCAGACTGGAGTTAAAATCAGACTCCCTTGGATTCAGCTCTCTGCTCTCTACTTAAGGGGCTCATGACTTCATCTCTGCAAGCCTGCTTCTTCTCTGAAACGACCATGATAACATCACCTACCTCATAGGTTTATTCATTGAGCTAATGGAGTAAAATGCCTGACACATAGGTGCAAGCGTGTTACCCTGCGCCAGGGCCCAGAGTGCTCTGGAATGTGTCCCAACCACAAATGTACTTTCCTACCTCTAAAGCGTTGCACATGCTCTAACTTGCCTCAAATGCTCTTGCCCCACCACTCATACCTAGCAAACTCCTACACATTCCTTAAAGCCCTAGCTGTAAGATACCTCTCTTTTCTCTGTTCAAGCCCTGACCCAGGGACCTAGGGGCATGTGGGCCTGGTTCTCACTGGGCCCACTCTTACGTGATGAGTTCCCTGAGAACACGTGGTGGGCATGCAGTCAAAGCTTCTTGAATGAACGAATGGATGGATGGATGGATGGATGGATGAATGATCATTTGGGAAGGGTGGCCAAAGTGGAGGCCCAAGAGCCTGCCAGCCACTTCGGTGCCCACGACCCCAGCTCCCGAGACCTGAAGGGGCCAGCGGTGGCACACGAAGGGCGAGGGGGCTTCCGGGCGGGGTCTTCAGGTCTTCCGGTACGGCCCCTTTAAGGGGCGGGGCCAGTGGGGTGGGCGCTCGGAGCGTCAGTGCGGCGCGAAGATGGCGGCGGCGGCGGCGGGCCCCGGGGCGACCCAGGCACCGAGCTCGCTGCTGCTCGTGGTGGGCGGCGAGTGCGGGTGCTCGGGGCTGCTTGCTTATGTGCTGGAGGAGCTCGAACGAGGTCGGGTTGGCCTGGGGCCACGGGGTGCGAGAGGCGGGCGCTGCCGCGCGTCTCGGCCCGGGGTGGGGGTGGGGGGGCGGCCGGGCTGGGGGCGGGGAGGCGATGGGCGGCGGCGGGATCCTGGGGGCCCAGAGGCTCGGTCTTCCTCACGGTTAGGCTTACGGCGCGGGCAGAAGCCTTGGGCGCGCACGGAGGAAGCGGTACCCGGGCCTGGATTGGGCTGCCTCGCCCCGCCCCGCCTCGGGTGTAGCCCGGGGACGGGACGGGGGCCCGGGCTTTGGGACCCGCGCGATTGGGCAACACGGGCGACGGCTCGGCTTCCCGCCCAGTGGGCCCGCCGAGGGGAGGGTGGGGTCACCTCGAAGCCCCCGGGTCATAGCAGCTTGGATGTCCCGGAGGGAGGAGCTGGGATGGAGAGACTGGGCCTGGAGCCCCGGGGCGCACTTTCCGTTGCTCCACAAGGAGCGTGCTAATTGGGGTGTGGGCGGGCGCAGCCTGCCCAAGGGATTTGGCATCTGGGGAGATGAATCATGTAGGTGCACCTGCGAGGTTCACCTGCAGCCACTTGGCACAGGCGTCGTGCACCCCACACCGTGTTTGGAGGGCCTTCATCCCCCCCTCCCCCCCATTCAGATGGGCAGGGCCTTCGGTCTGGCGCCTGCAAAATGGAAAGGCAGCGCACATCTCTGCGTACTTGGGAATGTCGTCGTCTGTGCCCATGTCCTCCCCCACCTCCACCCCGCCCCGTGCGCAGGGATAGTGTGGAAACCACAGGTTCAGCTCTGCCCTCGCGGTGCTAATAGTCTGACAGGGTGCAGGATCCAAAATGGGTGAGGACAAGTTTTAGGCTCCCAGGCTGTCAGGAGTGCTCAGAAGGATGCAACGCGCTGAGGGCCTAAAGGGTGGGTCGGGAGACAGAGGGAAGGACCTCCTGAGAGCGGGAAGAGCTGGTGCAAAGGCCAGGAGGTGGGAACATTCCTGGCAGGGCAGAAGGGGCTGTGTGACAGTGGTGGGGGTGGGGAGATGATGGAGGGGACCAGATGACTGTTCAGGAGGTGGGGGCTCTTTTGTTGATGTTGTGAATCTTCTCTGTGAAATGCCAAATTAACGCTTTGGGTCCCTTGAGAGAGAGAGAACGCCAGAGGCACCTTAGGTGGTTCTGAGTCTCCAGGCTGTTGCGTACAGGGGCAGGTTGAGGGGAAGGGGCTGGGATGGCTCCCACCTGCCAGATGGTAGTTAACTGAAACATTGCGGGAGCTGGGGAGCCTAGTTGACTTCCTGCCTCACTTCTCCGGCCACCACCCCCCTTGCCCCCAACAGGCATCCGGTCCTGGGACATTGACCCTGGCATTTGCAGCCTTGACGAGCAGCTCAAGATTTTCGTGTCCCGGCACTCTGCCACCTTCTCCAGCATCGTGAAAGGTGAGACTGGAGACCCCCCCATGTCCCAGCCGCTCCCCTTCATTGGGCAAGGGTTCTCTGAGTGCCAGCTGTGTGCCAGGCATGGGGGAGGGTTCGGGTATGGCTGTAAACAACCACAGTGACAATACAGCCGAGATCTGTCAAGTTGGAGCAGGGCTAGGCCCCGACCAGCACTGCTGACTCCCTTCGTCATCAACTCCACACATGGCAGGAACTCGTGTTTTTGTCCCCATTTTGCAGATGAGGCAGCTGAGGGGTGGGGGACAGGGAGACCTCCAGGAAGTGGGCTTTTTGGATGAGAGGTATCTGGGGGCTGATGTGTCAAGTGGAGGGAAGGGCCCAGGCAAGGTGAGAAGGTATTTGGAAAGTGAGGGGCTGGTGAGTGGGCCTGGAGGGTAGAGTGTGGGCCCCGTGTGGCAGGGACTGTGTATGGTTTGTGGCTGTGACCCCTGACAGGGGTGCTCGGTGGATGGGGAGCTGGGAGAGGAGCAAGATTGAGGGAGGGGTTGGGACGCCTGGGCCAGCCCCACACGGCCCGGGATGACCCACAGAACAGAGCAGCTAGTGGGCGGGTTCCGGGTATCACCGGCAGCCCCTCTTGCCTCAGCCAGCCCGTTGAGTCACCTCTAGGCCGCTGCAGGAGGGGAAGGAAGTGTCCTTCGCCTCATTGTCCCAGCGGTTCCTGGTGGCTTCCTGACCCCTCGCAGGATTTGGGGGTGGGAAGGGGCTGGAAATCCCATCGGTTCTGGGTGACCTTGGCGGCCATTTCCTCTCTCTGTGCCTTGGTTTCCCCACCGGAACGGGGCAATATCCGTACATGATGATAAGCGTGTGATAAACTGATAAAGGTTGACCAGTGCCGAAAGGTCCTTGCCTCTCTAGCCTTAGGCCTGGTGCTCCATTTCTGAAACCTCTGGGCTCTGAGGGACAGACGAGGGTTCAGATCCGGGAATCATCCCCACTCCCCTCTTCCTGGCCCATGAGGCCTCCCTGACCCCATGCTCCCCCGTGCTCCCCTCGCTCTAGCCTCACCCGCCACTTCCTGATCCTCACTTGGAGCCCAGTCCTGCCTCAGAGCCCTTGCCCGTGTTTTGCCCTCCTCCTGGTGTACCTCGTTGGCCCTGGGCTCTGGCTCCTTACCTATATGGGGTGACAGTGACGTCCCCCATAGGGCTGACTGCTGTGAATTGGGGCCTGTAAGCAGGGATGGCCATGTTGTCACTGTTTCCAATGTGAGGCCTGCCAATGCTGGTTTCCTGTTCTGGCCTCATCCTGACCCGCAGCTCTACCACGTGCCTGTTGATTCTCAGATGACCCCCTGGCTGGGGTCTCCCGGAAGCAGAGTCCCGGAGGGGCTTGTGGCTGCCTGGGGTCACACAGGGAGGCAGGGCTCGACACCGGGACCGCCTGACCCTGTGCGCAAGGCCCAGCCCCAAACTCACAGAGCCCAATACCCCCACAGGCCAGCGGAGCCTGCACCACCGCGGAGACGCCCTGGAGACACTGGTCCTCCTGAATCCATCAGACAAGTCCCTGTGCGACGAGGTAGGGAACAGTCATCCGCAGGGGGCAGGCTGTCAGGACCGGCGCCATCCCAAGTCCTGACTTCCTGCGTCCCTGACTTTGTGCTGTTAGAAATTCTCTTGACACTCAGCAGCCTCACCCCCTCCTTCAGGAAGTCTCCCTGGATGGCCTCAGCTTCAGCTTGTCACCCCCTTGGAGGTGACGGTGGGAGGAACAGGTGAAGTCAGGAAAGACTGGAGTTTGCGAGGAAGGTCTGGAGGCAGGAAGGCGGGACTCGGCTGACATTTGCGTCTTGTGCCTCTCTCGCTGGCTGGGCCCCCCAGGAGTTGTCTGAATTGACTTTTTTTTTTTTTGTTTTCTTTGTTTGTTTTTTAGTTTATTTATTTATTTTGAGAGAGAAAGTGCGTGAGAGCACAGAAGGGGCAGAGAGGGGGAGAGAGAGAATCCCAAGCAGGCTCTGTGCCGTCAGCTAAGACGAAGAGTCGGACGCTGAACAGACTGAGCCACCCTGGAGCCCCCGAATTGACTTCCTAATTCTTCTAATTCATGGACATCTTATGCCCTTCTCCTAGTTACCCATAGGAAAAATGAACAAGATGAAGCCCAGGACGCCCCTCTAGAGACCCCGGTATAGGTGGATTCCTCTGATCAAAAATGCTCCCTTTTGTTCCCTCAAGGAGCTCTGAAGGAGATAGAGCCAGACAGAGATACACTCTTCTCCATGGCCTTGAGGCTGGGCCAGAGAGAGAGTGGGCTCCAGGGAATCCAGAAAGGGTATGGTGGGCTTCTAGGAAGAGGAGGCCCCGGAGCCTGGCTTTGTAGGAAGAGCAGCAGGAATTTGTTGGGGGAAGGGTGTTGGGCTCAGCAGGAGGCCCGGAGGGTACCCTTCCAGCTTCTAGTTGAGTACTGGGGTGGGGACAGGGATTCGGGTGGTTGTATGTAGATTTGGGGCTGGGAGCCGTCTCAAAGCAGGGTGTAGGCCTTGTCACGGCACAGAGTGGGGCCTTTAACGGTCTCCCCTTCCTCAGCTCCGGAACCTTCTGCTGGACCCTGCCCCTCATAAGCTGCTGGTATTGGCTGGGCCCTGCCTGGAAGGGACAGGGGAGCTGCTGCTCCAGACGGGGGGCTTCTCGCCCCGCCACTTCCTCCAGGTCCTAGGGGACAAAGAGGTAAGCCACCTCCTCCTCGTCTTGCTTCCCCTGGCTCTGAGTTCGGGCAGTGTGGCCCTGGTGACCTGTCCCTCTCTGCACCCCATCCCTTCCTCTGTGGAGCAGCAGCAGTGACACATGTCCCTCCCATTGTCGGGCCCCGGTTCCCTCACCCATGATGGTGTGTGGTTTGAGGCTAGGCCTGTAGATCAGCAGATATCCCAGAGACCTCGAGTGGCACCCCAGCTTCCAGGTCCCAGCTGGGTAGGGTCCTTTCTAAAGTCCTTCGTCCGGGTGTGGCAAATGAACAAAGCCAGCCGATGAACCACTTTTTCCGTTGTAGAGAGTGAGGTGACGACGACGGTGAGTTAAAAAGCAGAGGTGGGGAGCATGGAAGGTGTCCCTGGAGGGAGCTGTGCTGTAGAGAACAGCAAGTGCAAAGGCCTTGGGGCAGGGAGAGTGAGGGGGAGGGGAGGGGAGGGAAGCAGGTGGTGAGTCAGGAGCATGTGTCTCTGCAGACCGGGGGATGGCTGGGTTTTGTCGTAATGGTGACGAGGGTCGGCCAAAGGACTCTCCCAGCCCCAGGAATCAAGATGGAGGGGCCCCTGCCCACTTTTCCCGAGGCGCTGGGTGTTGCCCGGCTCCAGGGGGCTTCTTAACCGTCACCCCCGCCCCTCTGTAGATCCGGGATCTTCTGGCATCCACACCCCCACCTGCAGACCTGCCGAAGCTCACCATCACCTGCCCAACCTTCGGTGACTGGGCCCAGCTGGCACCTGAGGTGCTGGGCCTCCAGGGCGCGCTCCGGGTGCAGTGGAACCCACCCGTGCAGCTGCCGGCTTCCGAGGGCCTGCGCCAGTTCCTGGAGTACGTGGCCGAGTCGCTGGAGGCCCCGTCTCCCTTTGAGCTGCTCGAGCCGCCAGCGTCCGTGGGCTTCCTCAGGCTCGCCCGGCCTTGCTGCTACATCTTCCCCGGCGGCCTCGGCGACGCCGCCTTCTTCGCCGTCAATGGCTTCACCGTGCTGGTCAACGGTGGCTCCAACCCCAAGTCGAGCTTTTGGAAGCTGGTGCGGCACCTGGACCGGGTGGACGCCGTGCTGGTGACCCACGCCGGCGCCGACAGCCTCCCGGGCCTCAACAGTCTCCTGCGGCGCAAGCTGGCCGAGCGAGATGAGGCGGCGGCCGGCGGGGGCTCCGGGGACGACAGGCTCCGCAGGCTCATCTCCCCCAACCTGGGGGTCGTGTTCCTCAACGCCCGCGTGGCCATCTCGCGTCTGGTGAGCGGCGAGGACGAGGCGGAGCTGGCCCTGAGCCTCTTGGCCCGGCTAGGCATCGCGCCCCTGACTCTGAACCGCGGGCCGCTCCCGGCCGAGCCCACCGTGCTCTTTCAGAAGATGGGCGTGGGCCGGCTGGACATGTATGTGCTGCACCCGCCCGCGGCTGGTGCTGACCGCTCGTCGGCCTCCGTGTGCGCCCTGCTAGTGTGGCACCCCGCGGGCCCCACCGAGAAGGTGGTGCGCGTGCTGTTCCCCGGCTGCACACCTCCCGCCCGCCTCCTGGATGGCCTGGTCCGCCTGCAGCACCTGGGGTTCTTGCGAGAGCCTGTGGTGACTCCCCAGGACCTAGTGGGGCCTCGGCGAGCTGAGAGCAAGGAAAGCGTGGGCTCCCGGGACAGCTTAAGAAGAGAAGGCCGGGCAACGGCAACGGCCAGGCCTGCCCCGGAGCGCCCTGTGGGGGCCCGGAAGGACCCGCCTCGAGTCGAGGCCCCCCGCAGGGCTGAGAAAGAAGCCAGGCTCCCCCGGGAGGTGAAGAAGGACCCCAAGCCAAGCGTCCCTCGGACCCAGCCCCAGGAGGTGCGCCGGGCAGCCTCCGCTTCGGTCAGCGTGAAGAAGGCGGGTGCCCAGGCCGCCCCCAGGCCCCGCAGGGCACCCAATATCCCCCGCCCGGGCGTCCCGCCGGCGGAGAACGGGCCCCACGGCCCCCCCAGCTTCCGCTGTGGAGAGGCCAGCCCACCGCCGCCAGAGGCCTGCGGCTCCCCCGCCCCCCAGCTGGTGGCCACCCCCAGCCAGGAGAGGAGCCTGGAGCTGGGGCTGAGCCCGGCCGGGGAGGACGGCGGCACCTTGGAGGAGAAGACGCTGGAGCTGCTTTTGGGTGCCAGCACCCCCCGGCCGCGTACACCCTCGCCTACCGGAGCCCACCAGGGCCCTGTGGAGGGCAGCGGGCGGCTGTCGCTGAGCCCGCTGCGGGGCGGGGAGGCTGGGCCGGATGCCTCGCCCACGGTGACCACACCGTCACTGCCTGCCGAGGTGGGATCCCCGCACTCCACGGAGGTGGACGAGTCCCTGTCCGTCTCCTTCGAGCAGGTGCTGCCGCCGCCGCCCGCCACCGCGGGCGAGGCTGGGCTGAGCCTCCCCCTCCGCGGCCCCCGGGTACGGCGATCGGCCTCCCCGCACGACGTGGACCTGTGCCTGGTGTCACCCTGTGAGTTTGAGCACCGGAAGGCTGTGCCCGTGGTGCCCGCGCCCGCGTCCCCGGGCAGCTCTGATAGCAGTGCCCGGTCCCAGGAGCGGGCGGGGGCCCCGGGAGCTGAGGAGACCCCACCCACCTCCGTCAGTGAGTCCCTGCCCACCCTGTCTGACTCGGACCCCCTGCCTGCCGCCCCCGGCATCGCGGACTCGGATGAAGACATGGAGGGCGCAGGGGTCCCCCGCCGTGACCCGCTGCCCGAGCCCCTCAAGTTCCCCCCGCCGCTGCCCACCCCGCCCAGCATCTGCATGGTGGACCCCGAGGTGCTCCCCCCTGAGCAGGCCCGGCTGACGGAGGGCCACGGCCGCACCCGGAAGTCCGGGGTTCGCCCTCAGCCCAGCACTGCCACCTCCAAAGCCACTCCCGCGACCACTGCCAAAACCAAGGGACTGGCCGGTGGAGACCGGGCCGGTCGGCCCTTTGGCACCCGGAGCGAGCCCAGTGACAAGGGAGGTCGGGCACCCCTGTCCAGAAAGTCCTCGGTCCCCAAGACGACCACTCGGGGCCCATCCGGTAAGTACCCAGGGGCTGGAGTCCTACAGCAGGGTTACCGGCCCAAGTCTTTGTTCCCTGTTTGCTGTGTGGCCTCAGCCACGCCTGCCACCCTCTCTGGGCGTCAGTTTCTCCTACAAAATGGAAGCTCTGGCTCGCTTGTAATTCCGAGGCATTCAAGCAGTGCCACCCGCGGAAGCATAACGTGAGCACATCTGTCATCATGAGGTCGCTAGTGCCACAGCGAGTAGAAACGGGTGAAATTAATTTTAATAGTATATTTAACCTGTTTGCGTAGAGATTCCCAAGCCCCCCACCACCAGGCTCAGTGTTGCAGTCAGGACTCGGGATGCAGTCCTACTCCTGGCTCAGCTGTGTTGGAGCAAAAGGATACAGAACGGAATCGGCAAAGAGAAGGGTCACACGGGGGGGGGGCCCCGGGGGGGGGGGGCAGGCACAGGCTTGTAGAGTCGTCTCCCAGTGTGGTCCCACCGTGTGCTTAATGCCCGAGCAGCGTGCCCTGGTGACCCATACGAGGTGGTGTCCACCAGGGATGCTCGTTAGAGACTGAGCGCCCAGGGTGTTGCTGGTCGCGTTGGCACCCTCTGCCTGACATGTGCCAACATCCCAGACTCCTCAGCAAGGGTGAAGCAGGCGTTCAGCCTGAGCCACGCTGCTGCGGAGCAAACAGGCGCGGTGAGCCACTCTTGTCGCTTAGGGGTGGGAACCTTTCTGAAATCCAGGCTCCCCAGACTCCAGCCAGGGCCACCCCGTAAGCAGACCTACCTAAGGATAGCAGTTTTAGGTACGCTGCGGTAACTTTTCTTCCCGGTTTTCCTTAGTTGTGATGAGATCTCTTCACAGGACATTTAGCACCTTAGCCATTGCTAAGTGCACAATTCCGTAGCGTTAAGTACGTTCGCATTGCTGTGCAACCAGCCCCACCAATTGGTCTCCAGAGCTCCTTTTTTTCTCTTGCAAAACTGAAACTCCGTCCCCATTAAAAACTAATTCCCACTCCTCCTCTCCCAATCCCTGGCACCCTCTGGTTCTGCTTTCTGTTTCTATGAATCTGACTCCTCTAGGGACCTCCTGCAAGTGAAATCATACTATATTTATCTTTTGTGACTGATTTCTTTCACTTAGTATCATGTCTCCATGGTCCATTCACGTTGTAGCCTGTGTCATAATTCTCTTCCCCTTTTTTTTTGTTTTTAAGAATTTCCTTCCTTTTTAAGGCTAAATAATACCGTGTTGCACGGATGGACCACATTTTATTTATTCGTTCACCCACTGATGGACTCTTGGGTTACTTCTGCCTTTTGGCTATTGTTGAATAATGCCGGTATGAACGTGACTGGATAGATATCTCGTGGAGACCTTACTTTCAACTCTTTGGGGTATATTCGCAGAAGTGGGATTGCTGGATCACACAGTAATTCCATTTTTGAGTTTTTAAGGAACCACTGTGCTGTTTTCCACAATGGCCGCACCGTTTTACATTGCCACCGGCCATACAAAAAAGGTTCCAGTTTCTCCACATCCTCGCCAGCACTTGGTATTTTTTGAGTAGCCACCTGATGAGTGTGAGGTGACACCTCGTGGTGGTTTTGATTTACATTTCCCAAATTAATGATGTTGAGCATCTTTTCGTGTGCTGTCGGCCATTTATATACCTTTTTTTGGAGAAATGTCTGTTCAGGTCTTTTGTCCCTTTTTGAATCGGGTAGTCTTTTTGTTGTTGGGTTATGAGAGTTCTGTATATATTGTGGATATTAACCCTTTGTCAGGTATACGATCTGCAAATATTTTTTTCCCATTGTGTGGGGTTGCCTTTTTATTCTGTTGATCGTGTTCTTCGCACAGAAGTTTGTAATCGTCGTAAAATCCAGTTCGGCTTTTTTTTCTGCCTGTGCTTTTGTTGTCACATCCAAAAAATCATTGCTAAATCCAGTCGGGTGAAGCTTTTGCTTTGTTCTAAGAGTTTTATGGTTTTAGCGCTCACATTTTGTTCCAGGATAAATTGAGTTAATTTTTGTCTGTGGTGCTGAATAAGGGTTCAATTTCATTGTTTTGTACGTAGACCTCCGATTTTCCCAGCACCGTTGGTTGAAAAGACGGTCCTTTCTCCTCTGATGGTCTCGGCATTGTTGTCAGAAATCATCTCATCACATACGTGAGGGTTTATTTCCGGGCTTTCTGTTCCATTGGCCTATCATGTGTCTGTCTTTTTTTTTTTTTTTTTTTTTAATGTTTATTTACTTTTTAGAGAGAGAGAGAGAGAGAGGAAGGGCCAGAGAGAGAGGGAGACAGAGAATCCAAAACAGGCTCCAGGCTCTGAGGTGTCAGCCCCGAGCCCGACGCGGGGCTTGAACTCACGAACCGCGAGATCATGACCTGAGCCAAAGTCAGACGCTTAACCGACTGAGCCACCCAGGCGCCCCTATCATGTGTCTGTCTTTATGTCAACACCACACTGTCTTGATTACTGTCCCTTTACCATAACTTTACAGATCAGGAAGTGTGAGTCCTCCAACTTTGTTCTTCAACATTGTCTTGCTTCCTGGACTCCCTTGAGATTCCATATGAATTTTAGGATGGTTATTCTATTTCTGCAAAAAGCCATCGCTGGCACTTTGATCGTGACAGCACCGAATCTGTAGTTTGCCTCAGGTAGTGTCAACGGCTCGGCGGATATTAAGTCTCTCCACAAATATGGGATGTCCTTTCTGTGAATTTTTATGTTTTCATTTCTTTCAGCGGTGTTTTTTAGTTTTTGTATATTTTGTTTTCTTGGCTAAATTAATCCCTAAGTATTTTATTCTATGTTAATACTATTGTAAAGGCAGTTTTCTTAGTTTCCTTTTCAAATTGTTCACCATTAGCATATAGAAGCATAATTGGTTTGTGTGTGTTGGTTTTGTGTCCAGCTACGTTGCCGAATACATCTATCCTAGCAGATTGTGTGTGTGTGTGTGTGTGCGCGCGCGTGCACGCGCATCATCTTAGAGTTTTCTACACGTAAGAGCGTGTCATCTGTGATCAGAGATAACTTTAATTTTTTCTTTTCTTTTTTTTAAATAATTTTTTTAACGTTTATTTATTTTTGAGACAGGGAGAGACAGAGCATGAATGGGGGAGGATCAGAGAGAGAGGGAGACACAGAATCCGAAACAGGCTCCAGGCTCTGGGCGGTCAGCACAGAGCCCGACACGGGGCTCGAACTCACAGACCGCGAGATCATGACCTGAGCCGAAGTTGGCTGCTTAACCGACTGAGCCACCCAGGCGCCCCTAATTTTTTCTTTTCTAACGTAGATATCTTTTCTTTTTCTTGCCTGATTGCTCTGGCTAGCACTTCTAGTACTGTGTTGACTCTAAGTGGCAAAAGCCAACATTCTTGCCTTGTTCCTGCTCTTGGAAAAAAAGCTGATAGTCTTTCACCATTGGGTATGATGTGAGCTGTGAGTTTTTCATACATGGCTCGTGTTATGTTGAGGCAGTTTCATGCTATTCATAGTTTGTTGAGGGTTTTTAAAAATTTTTTTTTTCAACGTTTTATTTTTATTTTTGGGACAGAGAGAGACAGAGCATGAACGGGGGAGGGGCAGAGAGAGAGGGAGACACAGAATGGGAAACAGGCTCCAGGCTCTGAGCCATCAGCCCAGAGCCTGACGCGGGGCTCGAACTCACGGACCGCGAGATCGTGACCTGGCTGAAGTCGGACGCCCAACCGACTGCGCCACCCAGGCGCCCCAGAGGGTTTTTATCATGAAAGAGTGTTGAATTTTGTCAAATGCCTTTCTGCAACAGTTGAAATGATTGTGTTGTTTTATTAATTCTGTTAATGTGGTCTATTATATTGATTTTTCTTTTCCTTTTAAGACTTTATTTTTAAGTAATCTCTACACCCAACATGGGGCTCAAACTCACAACCCTGAGATCAAGAGTCGCATGCTCCACCTACCAAGCCAACTGGGCGGCCCATACGTGTGTGTGTGTGTGTGTGTGTGTGTGTGTGTGTGTGTGTACACATACATACAATACTTTTTTTTTTTTTTTTTTAAGATTTCATTTTTTGGAGTGTCTGGGTGGCTCAGTCGGTTAGGTGTCCGACCATGAGGTCATGATCTCATGGTCTGGGAGTTCAAACCCCGCACCAGGCTCTGTGTGACAGCTGGGAGCCTGGAGCCTGTTTCAGATTCTGTGTCTCCCTCTCTCTCTCTGCCCCTCTCCTACTTGCACTCTGTCTGTCTCTCAAAAATAAATAAACATTAAAAAAATGGTTTTTAATTTCATTTTTAAGTAATCTCTACACCAAACATGTGGCTATGTTGATTTTTCATATGTGGAACCATCCCTGCATCCCAGGGATTCCCACTTGACCAGTGTCCAATCCTTTTAATATGCTGCTGAATTTGGCTCGCTAATATTTGTTGAAGATTTTTGCATCAAGGTTCATAAGGGATATTGGTCTGTAGTTTTCTTTTCTTCGTAGTGTCTTTGACCTTGGTATCAGGGCAACACTGGCCTCCTAGAATGACTTAGGATGTGTTCCCTGCTCTTCAGTATTTTTGGAAAAGTCAGAGAGGGATCGATGTTAGTTCTTCTTTAAATGTTTGGTAGAAACAGGCTCAGGAGGATTTTGATTACTGATTCAATCTCCTTACTAATGATAGATCTGTTTAGCTTTTCTGTTTCTTTGTGATTCAGTCTTTGGTAGGTTTTGTGTTTCTAGGCATTTGTATGTTTCTTCTTGGCTGTGCAGTTTCTTGGTTGTACAGCTGTTCAGAGTACTCTCATCATGCTTTTTATGTCTGTAGAGTAGGTAGTAGTGTCCCCCTCTTATTTCTGAGCTTATCAATTTGAGTCTTCTTGCTTTTTTCTTAGTCTAGCTAAAAGGCTGTCAGTTTTGTTAATTTTTTTTTTGTTAATTTTTTTTTTTAACGTTTATTTATTTTTGAGACAGAGAGAGACAGAACATGAATGGGAGAGGGTCAGAGAGAGAGAGACACACACAGAATCCGAAACAGGCTCCAGGCTCTGAGCTGTCAGCACAGAGCCTGACGCGGGGCTCGAACTCACTGACCGCGAGATCGTGACCTGAGCCGAAGTCAGACGCTCAACCGACTGAGCCACCCAGGCGCCCCCAGTTTTGTTAATCTCTTTGAAGGACCAACTTGTGGTTTTGTTGGTTATCTTTTGTGGTTTTCATTCTCAATTAAAAAAA